AGAGGAAGATCCCAGCAACAGGAGGACAGCTACTCAGGGAAAGCAGCGGAGGGGCAAAGGTCCCAGGGAAAGCAGCGGAGGGGCAAAGGTCCCAGGGAAAGCAGCGGAGGGGCAAAGGTCCCTCTGGAGTGTCCCAGGAGAGTGCGCAGGTCCCCGGTCCCTCCACTGCCCTTCACCAATGAGAAATATGTACAGGACAGACTTCCAAACGGACACAAAGAAAACTCCCTGCCCTTTGTGACACACACAGGAGCCCCCCCCCACACACACACACACACAATCGGTTTCTGTGAACAAAACAAAACGTCTGTGTTCCTTGTTTAAAGTGATAGATTCCTCACACGGCAATGTTGTCTGTCAGTTAAATTCGAGAGGGTTTTCAGAGACACATTTACAACCTTCCAAGAAGTTCTTCTCTTTATCTTGTGTCTCAGCAATTTGAGAAAGAAGGTCGGTTTCAGGACTAATTTGGAAGGACAATTTGAAATCAAATAAGCTTTATTTTTTAAAAAATGCAAAAAAAAAAAAAAGTCCAGTTATTCTTCCACTTCTCCCCCCTACCCCTTTTATTAAGCAGGTTTCCAATCACGGGGGTGTCTGCTCTGAAAAGCCTTCCGTTTCCAGCGCTTACTCCTGGAGGAGATAGTAACACCATTAGCCGGGGGAAATGTAGAATTCCAGATGAGTCAGAAACAAAGCTTCTAGGTTAGTTACGAAACGAAGTCGGCGAATTTGGACCATCTTAGAGCATTGTTAAATATCTTCGGCTCTTTACTAAAAACCAAATTCCTCAGGAGACGGAAAAACAACAACTGGCCCGTACGGGGATCGAACCCGCGACCTTGGCGTTATTAGCACCACGCTCTAACCAACTGAGCTAACCGGCCACCTGCTTTGCTGTTCCTTTGTTATTCCTCTCATCCCCAACCCCACCCCTTCTCCACGAGCGTTCAATTCAGCACTTTCAATCTTGTTTGTCTTACAGGGAAGAACAATTTCTTAGTTGCTTTAGAGTCTTAGAATGAGAAATTTCCTCTCAACGCAAATCAAAAAAAGAACATTGTTTTAAGCTGTACTCGCAGACTTTGAAAGAGGACGCGTAACACGTCAAACTGGCTAATGGCCCAGGAATTGGCAGAAATACTTGCTGTTTTCAGAATGTCTGGTCAGTACGTGCAGACAGTGAACCAGATTCGGTGAAATACTGACTAGTCTTTGCTTCATAAGAGCCGCTCACTAACACAACAAACAAATTGGTGCCTGAAGGATATTCCCGAGTCTGATTCTCAATGGGCCCGCAATAGAGATCGTCCCAGGTTTCTTTTGTCCAGAGCCTCAATTTGGGAGTCTTCCTACGTGTTCCCTCAGATCCCCAAATCCGCCCGCAATCTCACCCCCTTTAAAGGGAGGCACCTCCTATTTATGACACTGCTGACCGCAGGCCGAGGGCAATACCTCACAGAAACCTACTCTCTTTCTGAGTAACCTCACATCAAAGGTCGCTTGCAAGACCTTGGTATTGGAGAATTCTAGAAATATGGTTCCACTCACCATTCCAGGGGCGGTTAAACCCACTCAGTGTTTCCCAAAAGCATTACCATTGTTTTTAACGTCTTGTATATCGTTCCAGAGATTTTGAATACATAGACAAAGTTACACACGTGTTTTCTTTTTTCTTTTCATGAATAGAGGGATTTTATCCACCTTTTTTTTTTTTTTTTTGAGACGGAGTTTTGCTCTTGTTACCCAGGCTGGAGTGCAATGGCGCGATCTCGGCTCACCGCAACCTCCACCTCCTGGGTTCAGGCAATTCTCCTGCCTCAACCTCCCGAGTAGCTGGGATTACAGGCACACACGACCATGCCCAGCTAATTTTTCGTATTTTTAGTAGAGACGGGGTTTCACCATGTTGACCAGGATGGTCTCGATCTCTCGACCTCGTGATCCACCTGCCTCGGCCTCCCAAAGTGCTGGGATTACAGGCTTGAGCCACCGCGCCCGGCCTATTTTATCCACTTTTATACCCTAACTCCTGAGGTCTTGTGGCGATCGGGAGATGAGCCCAGCAAGGGAAAGGATCGTGGAGAAGCGGGCGACGCAGTATCCTCTGTCCTCATTAAGATTTCCCTGCAGTCTTATATATATTCTCTGTCCATTCTCTCTTCTCTTCTTCCCCAAAAGTCATGTGATGTTTGAAAATATTGTCTGACAATAAATAAATTGCTGGTGACTGGTAAAGTTCACCTAAGTGGTCTAGAAGCGGAGACTTTCACTTGCAGAAACCCCCAAGAGCCTCTTTGAATAAAGCCAGCAGGCGGCAGTTCGCGTCGGGAAGAGAGCAGAGACCCCTCCGCCCGCAATCTCACCCCCTTCAAAGGCAGGCACGTCCTCCTATTTATGACACTGCTGACCGCAGGCCGAGGGCAATACCTCACAGAAACCTACTCTCTTTTTGAAAGCTGAAAGCGCGCGAGAGATCGTGCAACGGTGCCCTTGTAAAGACGTCCACTAACAAGGTCAGCCAAGGGAATCCTGAAAAACAGATTCACCCTGAAAGAATGGGCATTGTTTCCGCTCGGTTTCACGCCGAGGACCTTTCGTGTGTAAAGCGAACGTGTTAACCACTACACTACGGAAACCTACGTGCTTCGTGAGCTTCCTTCATTAAAGGAGAATCCAATTCTTCTGTTTCCGCTTCGGTACTATCGAGTTGATTGGCCTTTTCGTTCAGTAAATTATCAAGATTACCATGCTTTTCTTTACGGAAAAAAGTCCTCCATTAAAACTTTTTCTTTCTTTGTTTCTACTTTCTTTCTTTTTTAATTGTGACTGGAGAATTTAAGGAAATTTCCCCGGAGATGCGAGGTTCGTTACTGCGAACATCGAGATTTTTCTGGTTTTTCTTTTTCCTCCTAACCGGGGAGAGGCAGGAATTCAGAAGAGTGTGATTTCGTTGTTGTTGATGTTTATGGGGGAAAAAATGTGAAGAGATAATGTAGTAGACAAGATTATATAGAGTGTAAAAGGAAGGCTTGTGGCGGCCAGAACATTGGCTCAAAGTGAATGTATCTCCTATCTTGATGACCAGATGTCTGCGTTTCCTGTCTAGAGGTCTTTACATTGTTCTGACTATATCACCAGGGTAAGCATGTTTACAGAATTTGGGAAGGGCAGAGGACTATCAGGAAAGTGGAAAGGTTCTATTGTCTATCAGATACCTCTCTACACAACATTCAATTTGCTGAGTTAGTGTCTCACTGTGATGATTGTGAAAATTCTGTTCAAAGACACCAGTCTATGCATTTTTTCCTTAAAGATGCTGACCTTGACGGCCATTGTTATTATAGAGAGAGAGAGAGAAAGGAAAGAAAGGAGACAGAAAAAGAAAAATCCTGTATTCCATATTTCTCATTTCTTTAAAACCAAAATCTGTGACGAATACACTCCAGTAACTCGATAGACCATTAAACCATTTCCTCCTCTCCTTTCTCATTGCAAACATCCCCGCAAACCCAAAGCCCGCTGATTATCGAACGCCCGTCTGACTCCAGGGGGAGTAGGGTTCCCTCCTTGCAACCGGGACGCCTCCGTCAGCACCTCGAACTGAGCTGGAGGCTGAGTCCTTGGCAATGTCCTGCACCAGCAGCTGCCAATCTAGATACCCTGTCTGCGAGGGCTCCAATGCCCGCTTTCGTGTTTTTCTGTCCCATAGTCTTATTTCTAAATCACACACCCAGGTAAGCTCATCCTACTGCTACCTCAACCCAGGCAGGACTATTCTGTGCCTAAATTAAACACGCTGGAGCGGCAGCTCTCTGGCTGTTGAATAATTGACAACCTCTCACAGAAAAGCCGCCCTACCCTGGAAAGGCGGTTCGGACTCCAGACCCCTGCGCAGCGCCCGGGATTCCCGGAAAGGTGAGGAGGCTCGGAGTTGACTGCCTTGGGGAAACACCTTAGCAGGGAGACCCAGATCAAGACCAGCTGCAGACCAAGTCCCTGGAGGAATTGCAGGTGGTAGGAACAGGGTCCCAGAGGCCACCGCAGGGAGAGAAACAGAGTGGAGCCATTTCTAGACAAAGAGATCTGCCGGGAAACTTCTTAGTCTCCTCCACTCCCTACTCCCACCCCACCCTCTCCTTGCACACGTCTCCTGCGGAAGGTTTCCGAAAATAATTCTGTAACAGAAAGAAAAACAACAAAAACCGAGGTTTCCCAGAGATGGATGACACCTGGTCGCGTCGCACCCCGTTTTTCGTTTGTTTGCTTGTTTAGCTCTCTTCCCCCCCACACTTTTTTTTTTTTTGACTGATTGCTCAGTGGCCATTTGGCTGTTCTTGTGAAGTGGCTGCTCAAATCTCTCACCCATACACCTTCAAGTGAAAATAAAAATAAAGCCTATTTAAGAAAATTTAGAGGCCGGGCGCCGTGGCTCACGCCTGTAATCCTAGCACTTTGGGAGGCCGAGGCGGGCTGATCAGTTGAGGTGGGGAGTTCAAGACCAGCATGACCAACATGGAGAAAACCCCGTCTCTGCTAGAAATACAAAATTAGCGTGGTGGCGCTTGCCTGTAATCCCAACTACTTGGGAGGCTGAGGCAGGAGAATCGTTTGAATTTAGGAGGCAAAGGTTGCAGTGAGCCGAGATCGCGCCATTGCACTCCAGCCTGGGTGACAAGCCTGGGCAACAAAAGCAAAATTCCGTCAAAAAAAAAAAAAAAAGCTAACACCCACTGTCTGGCCGGTTCCGGGATCCAATCCGCGACCTTGGCGTTCCCTCTTAACAAGTTATGTATGTATATAAAACGATTTTTCCCTCTTCAGCTTCTTTAAGAAAAATAAAACCCTGAAACAATGAAAAGCAATTGTTTTAAATCCCCACATTCTTCCTATGTCACTCACCACCCCCCGTTCCCCTCCACCCCCATCCTCACTGTGGACGGCGGTTGTAGGAAAAAGAAAAGCTTAACATTTGGCCGGAAAAAAAACCTGCCACTTACCTGAAAACAGTCCTTTCCAAATATTCCAGGCGATTCTGATCCGAGAGCTTCAAGCTCAAGTTCCCGAGCCGGGCATTCTTCCTCCTACTCGAAGAAGGCCGAGGGCAAAAGCGAAGCTGCTCCAGGCCTGAGACTACGGCAAGCGGTACATGGAAGCGACCTCTGAGCAGCCTCAGGCCTCAGAGTACTTGACTCCAGCGCGCGGGATACTGATTCCTTTTCAATCTTGGAGACCATTCCGGAGAGAGGCTCCTCCCAGAGGCCTCGGAACCGGGGAACTTCCAGCCTCTCGCCGCCTGGCCTCGAGGTGGTTCTGCGGTCACCACGACCCTGACATGTCTCTGGTCCTGCGTGGGTGGGGTTTTAAAGACCGTGGTTGATGGCCTCTTTCCAGAAATCTGGGTCCTCATCTCCAGGCAGGACCAAGACCCCCAAATCAAGGCCAACAGCAAGGTGCTTGATCTAGTACCAAGAACTTTCTCCATCACTTGTGCCAATACACACACACATACACACACACACACACACACACACTCCTCATCATGACAACCCTGGAAGTGAAATAAAGTTTCACTAAATAAAATTTAGATGACTGGGTTTAAATACGAGTTCTACGGCCTTTGTTTCTGTGAGACGCTCAATAACGTCTTTAAGTATGAGAACATGTGAAACTCATGGCGGCGGAACATAGTTTTACCACGTTCTGATTTTTGCTTGAAAACTTAAAGTTTAACACTGACAACCATTACTATCCATTATTTTACCTTGCAGTGTCTGACAAATACCTCCATCTGAATGATCATAGTTGCCTGTTAGGCATTCTTTCAAATAAAAATCAGATTCCATGAAAAGGCAGCTGGCTGGTTCCGCGCACAGCAGAAACATCACACAGGTGCTTTCCCTTAAGACAGTCACCCAACTGCAGAACGCAGCAGAATTGCTTTTTGTGCTCTTTCCATTGAATTGCGTAATTTAAAGAGGAGCATTTAAGGGTTCAAATTTAATACATTAGGACGTTCTTTTTTTTCTTTTTCTTTTGAGACGGAGTTTCGCTCTTGTTGCCCAGGCTGGAGTGCAATGGCGTGATCTCGGCTCACGGCAACCTCCGCCTCCCGGGTTCAAGCCATTCTCCGGCCTCAGCTTCCCTAGTAGCTGGGATTACCTGCCTGCGCCCCTGCCCCTGGCTAATTTTGTATTTTTAGTAGAGTCGGGGTTTCTCCATGTTGGTCAGGTTCTTCAAACTGCCGCCCTCAGGTGATCCGCCCCCCTCAACCTCCCAAAGTGCTGGGATCACAGGCGTGCGCCACTGCACCCGGCATAAAATAGGACATTCTTTAGTGAAACTGGACTTTTTTTTTTCTGCAGTTGCGTGGCAGTGAAGAATGAAGTGGCTACTAAGACAGTTTGGTGCCACTGCCTTAATTCATGCTCAGGTGCCCCACCATTGTTTTCATAGCGTTAGTGCAAATAGAGACACTGTGGAAAGATGAATAACCCTCTACTATTACTACGAAGCAGTTTGCTCCACTCAGCAGTCTTCTCCAGATAAGCACATTCTTCCTATGTCACTCACTTGTGAGTACTTGAAACTTTGCAGAAGTTTGGGTCGCCTCCAGGTCTCAGTGGTCCTGGCTCCCCCAATCTGGAAGATAAATGGAAATCAGAGCCATAGGAAAACATCAAAGAGTTCCCTGAAATAAAATCCCCTCAAAGTCTAAGGTTATCCCGTCTGGCTTTGGGGAAGGAATATGGACTCTAGTTATGAGCTCTGTTTGGTTACGAGCCACGGAGTATCTAGGTTGGTGCAAAAGTAATTGCAGCTTTTGCATTGTTAAAATTTACCGTTTAATATAAAATATAGGAATGCTTTCTAAATAAGTGTGGCTACGTTATACATCATTTTAATGCACATTTCTCGCTTTATGTCTTTTTTTTTGCTCATGACTTATTTGCTGTTTATTTTATTTCAGACTTATGGAAATGATGTTAGACAAAAAGCAAATTCAAGCAATTTTTCTTATTCGAGTTCAAAATGGGTCATAAAGCAGCAGAGACAGCTGTCAATATCGGCAACGCATTTGACCCAGGAACTGCTGATGAACGGACAGTGCAGTCGCGGTTCAAGAAGTTTCGCAAAAGGGAGGAGAGCCTTGAGGATGAAGAGTGTAGCGGCCGGCCTTGGGAAATGGACTAGACTAATGGAGAGCGATCGTCCAAGCTCTTACCACTGCAAGAGAAGACCTCAACGTCGACCGTTTACCACCATGCGGCGGCATTTGAAACAAATCGGAAAGGTGAAAAAGCTTGGTAAATAGGCTGAGCGAATTTTTTTTTTAATTGTCATTTTGAATTGTCATCTTCTCTTATTCTACGCAACAACAAAGCATTTCTCCATCGGACTGTGATACGCGATAAAAAGTGGATTTTATGTGACAGCCGGCGACGACTAGTTCATGGTTGGACCGAGAAGCTCGAAAGCACTTCCCAAAGCCAAACTTGCACCAAAAGAGAGGACATAGTCACTATTTCGTGGTCTGCTGCTGGTCTGACTCACTACAGCTTCTGCAGCCCCGCGAAAGCGTTACAGCTGAGAAGGGTACTCAGCAGGTCAATGAGAGGCGCGGGAAACGTCTGCAGCCGGCAGTGGGTAACGGAAAGGGCCAATTCTTCACGATAACGCTCGACTGCACGTCCCACGACTAACGCTTCAAAAGTTCAACGAATCGGGCTACGAATGTTTTCCTCAACCCATCGTGTTTACCTGGCCTCTCACCAACCGACTACCACTTCCGCAAACATCTCAACAACTTTTTGCAGGGAAAATGCTTCCATAACCAGCTGGATGCAGAAAATGCTTTCCAAGACTTACTCCAATCCCCAGGCACAGATTTTTTTTGTTTGTTTTTTTTTTTTTTTTGAGATGGAGTTTTGCTCTATCGCCCAGGCTGTAGTGCAATGGTGGAAGAATCTCGACTCCCCTTAACCTCCACCTCCCAGGTTCAAGCGATTCTCCTCCCTCAGCCTCTAGAGCAGCTGGGATTACAGGCATGAGCCACGACGACAGGCTTATTTTGTATTTTTAGTAGAGATGGGGTTTCTCCATGTTGGTCAGGCTGGTCTCGAACTCCTGACCAACCTCAGGTCATCCACTTGCCTGGGCCTCCCAAAGTTCTGGGATTACAGGCGTGAGCCACCGCACCTGGCCCGGAGCACAGATTTTTATCCTACAGGAATAAACAAACTTATTTCTTGTTGGCAAAAATGTGTTGATTGTAATCGTTCTTATTTTGATTAATAAAGATGTGCCTAGTTATAAAGAGCCTAGTTATAATGATTTTAAAATTCATGGTCCAAAAGTTCAATTACCCTTTTGCACCAACCTAAATATTAGTTTTAACAAATTGAAAGTATGAAGGAAGAAACAGACTGTGGGTAAAGACACACTAAAACAAAAAACATATTAAAAGGTGTTAGGTCTGCGTATATCCAAAATATCCCCCTTTCATTCTGCTCTGGATTGCGGCACCAGAAGAGGAAGTGTCCTGGGTACTGGTTAGCACATCTGCCTGACAAGAAAGGGGTCTCAGATTGGAAACTGATGAAAACAGTAGCTTTTCCAAGAAGATTTCTCACTTTAAGGCCGGGCGTGGTGGCTCACACCTGTAATCCCAGCACTTTGGGAGGCCGAGATGGTGGATCAGTTAAGGTCAGGAGTTCCAGACCAGCCTGACCAACATGCCGAAACCCCACCTCTACTAAAAATACAAAAATTAGTCGGGCTTCCTGTCGGGTGCCTGTAATCCCAGCTATTCAGGAGGCTGAAACAGGAGAATCACTTGAAACCAGCAGGCAGAGTTGCAGTGACAAGAGATCATACCCACTGTACTCCAGCCTGAGCCAGGAGAGTAAAACTCTGCCTCCAAAAAAATCACATTTTCTAAATGTCAAAGTCTTTCTATTTTCTTTGTTGTTATAAACATAAATATGAAAGGTTTTCCAAGTTATCCTGGAAAAAGGACTCTGCCAGATTGGGTCTAGGCCATTTAGTCATTTAGGCAAAAGGTGCTGTTAAGTCTACATCTTACCATTTCTCTCTCTCTCTCCCTCTCTCTCATCCTTCTCTTAAAACACTTTTATGTTTTGAGGTGTTAATTTTGCCCACTTTGAAAGCTAAAACAGGTAAACAATTTGTCAAAAAATAACATGTCTGTTTTAAATTTATATGGTTAATAAATCAGTTCCTACATTCCAATATTTAATGTCAATTATGACTTATGGAGTAACTTTATTAAATTTGTCCCTTCTTCGCCTTCACTGTTTAACTGCTGCATGATTTATCACACATTTTGGCCAAGATTCTTCCCCTTAGTGAGTTATTTCTTTATTAACAGTAGGAGCAAAACATGTGATTCAACAGAACGATGTATTTTTGTATATTTTATTTTATGACATTTAATTAAAAATAATAGAGAAGTCATTACTAATACGTGAACACATCACCAGAACACAATATAAATACATAAGAAAATACAATGAAACTGAAACAATGGTAGATTAACAGGTTGCAAAAATTAGTAATGAGCTCACAAGTATGCCAATAAAAATGGTCTCACAGATGATAAACTGGAAATGACACCTCCAAGGCACAGAAAGGTTAAATGCATTTCTTCATTCATTCATCCATTGGTGGACACAAGAATTCCATATGTTGGCCAGGCGCGGTTGCTCATGCCTGTAAGTAATCCCATCACTTTGGAAGGCTGAGGTGAGCAGATCGCTTGAGCCCAGGAATTCAAGACCAGCCTGGGCAACATGGTGAAAGCCCATCTCTACTAAAAATAAAATAATAATAATAATAATAATAATAATAATAAGCCAGCAGGGCATATTGGTGCAGGCTTGTAATCCCAGCTACTCTGGCGGTTGTGGCACAAGAATCACTTGAACCCGGGAGGCAGAGGTTGCAGTGAATCAAGATCGCATCACTGCACTACAGCTGGGGCTACAGAGAGAGACACTGTCCCCACCCCCGACTCCCCCCCACCCCCCCGCAAAATCCATATCTTGGTGGTATGTAGATACTCTGTTCGACATACCGATTTCACTTCCTTTAGCTGTATATCCACTAGAGGGCTTGCTGGGTCATATAGTATTTCTATTTTTAATTTTTGAGGAACCACCATACTGTTTTCCATAATAAATGGTATTAGTTCTTTAAATAGTTGGTAGAATTCAACAGAGAAGCTATAGGTGGGTTTTTCCTTGATGGGAGATGTTTTTATTACTGATTCAATTTCCTTATCCATTTTGGTCTGTTCAGATTTTCTGTCTTCATGATTCAGGCTGGGTAGGTTGTGTGTGTCTAGGAATTTTTTCCATTTTTCCTAGTCCTCATCCTGCCTGGCAGACAACTGGCCCCTCAGTTTCTACCCTTCCAGCCCTGCCCAGCACAAAGAGTGAGCAGTTTCCGGGGCTCAATCCGCCGGCCCCCGTTTATGTTCTTGGGGTAATTTTCTGCCTCCTAGGAGATAAAAATCACAAAGCCTGCTACTGTTGGAGAAGTCCCAACAGATAAAAGAGAAGTACTCCATTGGAGCGCTGTGTAAAATTTCTGTACTGCGTTTGAAAAGACAGTTTTCCCCAAGGCGTAGTATTTTCTTGGTGTGACTCATGCACTCCGACATTACTGATTTTAATAAATGGAAAAGCCTATCAATCTTGATCATTTCGGGAAATAAAAGTTCAATTCCATGTTACCAAAGCTAGGACACCCAGGAAAGTTTTCTTCCGTCCCTGGGAGGAAGAGTGCCCCAGGCTGGGGTTTCCGTAGTGTAGTGGTTATCACGTTTGACTCACACTCAAAAGGTCCCCGGTTTGAAACCGGGCGTGAAACAACGCACGTTTTTGAGGAATCCTCAGCTGAATCTGCCAGTGGACGTTTTAAGAATTGCACCATTCTTGTCTGTGAGAAACAAAAAATAAAAAATAAAAAAATAGAATTGCACCACCGCACCATCTTTAGCTCTCTAGGAGAGAAGGTCCCTTGGTCACCTGTGGTGCGAAAGGGACCAAGTACCCCCTGCGGCCTTTCTCCCACCAGAGCCCTTCGGGTTTTCGACAAGGAAAAAGTCCTCTTCAAGGTCGAGTGTCCATGGCTACCCGGGTGGGCATTAACAGTCACCAGCAATTTTTGCCAAACAAATAATGTCTTCAGATAACACATGGTTTTGGGGAAAGTAGGGGAGAGAGAAGTATGCGGGCAGGGTGGGTAGAGGAAAGGCGTAAGAGAGGACTCTGCAGGGAGCCGTCAATGGAGCAGAGTCGCTACGACCACGTCTCTCGTTGCTCCAGTCGCCTGATCCCCACAAAGACCTCAGGGACTCGGTTCGCAGGCAACTTGAATGATCTCTCCGCTTAGGGCTGTTTTTCCTGCAGAGTCCATGTGAGGCGAGACTTTGAGGAAAGCCACCGTTTCCGGGAGCGCTGGGCCGGACTCGCCCCTGCAGGTGCAGGCTGGCTCCAGCCGCTCACTCGCAGTTGGGAGCCTCGCTCCAAGGGATCGTCACAAAGTTCCGCCAGGACTCAGGACGCTCCAGGCAGATTTGGAGTGGGATTAGGGGTCTTCCTGTGTGTACCTGTACTGAGTCCTCGAAAGGAACCTGGGCGGGCAGATGCTCTTGCTGAGCTTCCCCGCCCCCCGGACAGCGTCCAGCTCGGAGATTATTGCGCTCAGGCCACGGCCAGCCCCTGTGGGTGAATGGAGATTGCCGGCTCTAGGTATATGGAACTTTTGCTGGATTTTTTTTTTTTTTTTTTTTTTTTTTGGAGGTATAGAAGGAGCCAAACAGCCAGTTTTCTCTTTTAAGATTTATTCAGGGAAACAGATCAACCGGAATCCTAGGAAAGTTATTCCCAGATAGGATGAATTCATTACATGGAGGAGGTGGCTCTGAGTGGTGCCCGTGGGTTGTGGAGGACACGATGGAGTTCTTCCTAGAACCCAGCGGTTTTCTACACTGCCAGTGTTTCGTGGGGCAAGGTACTCACACACAGCCAGCATCCTGGAGTGCTGTTTGCTGCCCACTCAAAGCTGAGCTCTTCCCAGGAACTGTTCTAAGCTAAAGAAAGCTGCTCTAAGCTTACAGCTTTTCTCTGGGAACAGCCTACGTCTAAAGGCAGGTCTATGAGTGGACAGAACAACCCAACTCCTTTTCCCCGATTCAGGACAATTCTAAAGGATCCCTGTAGCTCCAGAGCTCCCCACGGGAATGCTTGAGTCCTCTCTTGTGTATCATTCACGATGGACTCCCTTCATGAAAACTATATCCGGGAGTCTGTTTCTCGCAGAATGCAATAGCCTAATACAATGTTAATATAAAACCGAATACAATCCCCCAGAGTCTATTTACAAAACACCTACTAAAACAGTATTTTAAAGCATATCATCAGATTTGTCTCTCCTAAAGTCAGAATTAACAGTAGGTTCCCATTTTCCTTGAGTTAAAACCCAATTGCTGGCCAGGCGCGGTGGCTCACGCCTGTAATCCCAGCACTTTGGGAGGCCGAGGCGGGTGGATCACGAGGTCAAGAGATCGAGATCATCCTGGTCAACATGGTGAAACCGCGTCTCTACTAAAAAGTACAAAAAACTAGCCGGGCGTGATGGCGCACACCTGTAGTCCCAACTACTCGGGAGGCTGAGGCAGGAGAATTCCTTGAAACTGGAAAACGGAAGTTGCAGTGAGCCAGGATCGCGCCACTGAACTCCAGCCAGGCGGTAGAGCGAGACTATGTCTCAAAAAAAAACAAAAAACAAAACAACAACAACAAAACAGATTGCTAAGATAGCTTACAAGACCCTATATACTGTGATCGAAATATCTCTGATCTCATCTCTGTTACTCTCTCCCTCCCTGGTGCTCTGGCCACAGGAACCCTTTTACTACTCCTCGAACATTCCACGTGAGTGCCCACCTTTGGGCTTTTGCAGCGGTTGTACTCTGCCTGTTACCTCACCTGTCAGATGGCTTCATTGCTCACTTTCCTCCAGTCACAATCTTACTAAGGCTACACTATCAGCTCTATTTAGCATTCCAACCTACTCCCTTCACTCCAATTCTTCCTACCTGCCTCTATTTACCAATCACATTGAACACCTTTTTACATATTTTAGAATTCAAATTTTTTTATATTTGTTATTTATATCCGTGTCCATCCTCTATGAGGGCCGATATTTCATTGGTGTGGTACTAGAGGTGTGTTTCCATAGTTCCCTGACGCCTGTCTAGTGTCTAGAACTGGACCTGTGTGGTTGTTACACAAAGTTAGAGATCTTTTTAAAACCTGAATCTGGCTGGTGGCTCACACCTATAATCCTGACACTTTGGGAGGCCGAGGTGGGCAGATCATTTGAGGTCAAGAGTTCCAGAGCATTCTGGCCAATATGGTGAAACCCTGTCTCTACTAAAAACACACAAAAAAATTAGCTAGGTGTGGTGGTGCACGCCTGTAATCCCAGCTGCTCCAGAGGCTGAGGCAGGAGAATGCCTTGAACCTGGGAGGCGGAGGTTGCAGTGAGCCGAGATCGGGCCACTGACTCCAACATGGGCAACGCAGCCAGACTCCATCTCAAAAATAAATGAATAAATAGAACGTGAATCTCTTCATGTGACTTCTCTGTCTAAAGTCCTTGCATGGATTCCCATTGTTGTTAGTTAAAAATCCCTAACTTGGCCTGCAGTGATCATGGGTCTTAGCTTAGACTTCACGGAGATCAATTAAGAAAGCAGCAAATATCGACATGGATTCCTGGGCCATTCGCCACAGTTTGGAATTTTTAAGCGTCCTCTTTCAACTCTATGAACACAGCTTAAAAAAACAAGGTAAAATACAATAAATCCATGAAAAATGCTTTTTCTTTGTTGTGTCTATGTTTTGGGAAATCATAGTTCTTAGCTTAGACTTAATGCAGATCAGTTAACACCTGTTAATTTATTTGTAGTGCCCCATCCGCTTTACCATCAAGTACCCTGATTCATTCATAGTAATCTACTAGAGGGTTTTGCATCATGTATTAATACATGTCTCTCCACCTCAGGCTTCATCTCCTGCTTCTCGTCCTGTGCCACTCTGCAGCTCACTCAGTCTCCAGACCGACTCGTCTTAGCTCCTTTCCCTCAGGTGTTTCTGCCCTTGTGGTTCTCTCTGAGGTGACAAAATTAGGCCACTGCGGCTCCTTCTCCCTGTTTTCCTTCTCCCACCTGATTCCTTCTCCCACAGTCTTTTTACATCATTACTTATATCCCAAAAACAATATTCCAGAATCTAGTATGCCCCAACTGGACAATCTACACACTGATTGTCTAGTTTTGCTTCAAAGTTGTAGCAGGGAATTCAGGAAGAAGAAGGGGTAGAAATGTGCCCAGGATCCTATTTGTGCTCAATAAAATTAAAACAAGCAAGCAAAAAGAATCTTGGGATCCACCCTCTAAAGCACAATGTGACAAAGGCCATCAGAACTGCCAGTGCGCATACTCTGATGCAGCTTTTCCCATGTGCAAAAGTATCATGGCGCACATCAGATACGGTGTATGTTCATATTTAGGAACAATTTGCAATCGGAGGATGAAAGTCTAAGCTATGGCCATTAAACTGTGGTATATACTCATATGATTGAATACTATACAGACAGAATGAAAAACACTTTTCTGTTCTGATAGGAAAGAACTGCACAAATACACGCTGAGTTAAAAAAAAAAAAAAGCAAGGGGCTGGGTGTGGTGGCTCTTGCCTGTAATCCCAGCACTTTGGGAGGATGAGGCAGGCGGATCACGAGATCAGCAGGTCGAGACCATCCTAGGTAACACAGTGAAACATTAAAAAAAAAAAAAAAGTGGGCGTGGTGGCACACACCTGTAGTCCCACTCGGGAGGCTGAGGCAGGAGAATCGCTTGAACTTGGGAGGTGGAGGTTGCAGTGAGCCGAGATCGCACCACCGCTCTCCAGCCTTGGCAACGGCGTGAAATTTCGTCTGAAAAAAAAAAAAAAAGAAAAGGGATTTAAAAAGTGGATAAAATGCCACTATGTGTGAAGAGAAAAAAGAAAACATTTAACTTTGTCTATGCATTCAAAATCTCTACAATGACGAGGAAGACACTAAAAACAATGGTAATATTTTTGGGAGACAATGGGTAGAAAGATCGGTGTAACCGTCCCTGGATGGTGGGTAGGGCCACATTTCCAGAATTCTCCAATACCGAGGTCTTCAAAGTGGGCTTTGATTTTCGGTCACCCTGGAAATCTGACGGAACAGACAGGAAAACTTCCAGAATGGAGGCTCCGGGCAGAAGAAACCCGGGAGGATCTCCACTGTGGGGCCATCGATGGGGCCATCAAGAATCAGACCCGTCGAGAAGGTCCTTCAGGGCCCAGTTTCTAGGTTGTCTTAGTGAACGGCTCTTACAAGACCAAGACTCGCTACCATTTCACCGACTCTGATTCACTGTCTGCACGTATTGATTACCAGACATTTAGAAAGCAGCAAATATTTACACGGTTCCTGGGCCATTCGCCCAGTTTGAAATTCTTAAGCGTCCTCCTTCAACTCTAGGAACACAGCTTAAAAAATAAAATAAAATAAATCCATTAAAAGCGCTTTTTCTTTGTTTTGCTTATGTTTTAGGAGAAAGTTTCTCATTTTTATTAAGACTCTACAGCAACTAAGAAATTATTTCTCCTTGTGAGACAAACAGAAATTATATCGCTGAATTTAATACTGTTTTTTTTCTTTAGAGAGGGAGTCTAGCTCTGTCTCCAGGCTGGAGTACAGTGGCTCGATCTCGGCCACTGCACCCTCCACCTCCCGGGTTCAAGCCGTTCTCCTGCCTCAGCCTCCCAGGCACCTGGGACTACAGGCGCGCACCACCACGCCTGGCTAATTTTTTGGTATTTTTAGCAGAGACCGGGGTTTCACCGTGTTAGCCAGGATGGTCTCGGTCTCCTGAACTCGTGATCCACTCGCCTCGGCCTCCCAAAGTGCTGAGATTACAGGCGACGGCCACCGCGCCCGGCCTGAATTCAGTACTTTCACAAGAGAGGGATGAGGGTCGGGATGGAGGGGGTAGAAGAAAAAAAGCCATTCATGATGTTGGCCGGTTAGCTCAGTTGGTTAGAGCGTGGTGCTAATAACGCCAAGGTCGCGGGTTCGATCCCCGTACGGGCCAGATGTTTTTTTAGGTAGTATTAGAGAAGCTCGTCAGTTTTCAGCCAGTGAAGAGCTGAGGGTGCCCTAAGATGGTCCAAATTCGCCGCCGTCGTTTTTTAATCCACCTGCAAACTAACTCCATTCCATAATCCCCCCAAATTCTACGTGTCCTCAGGTAAAGTTCTTATTCTTTTCCCCCAGGTGTAAGGGCTGGGGACAGAAAGCTCTTCTGGGCAGAGCGTCAAAGACTGGGAGCACTGCCTAATGAAAGAAAAAAAAAATTAGACTATTACTGGCTTTTAAAAAATTACTTAAATAAAGCTTGCTTGATTTCAAATTGTCCTTCCAAATTACTCCTGAAACCAACCTTCTTTCTCAAATTATCAAGGGATACAACATAAAGACAAGAAATTCTCAGGAGATTGTGAATGCGTGTCTTTGAAGACTCAGATTTAACTGAAAGACAAGATTGCCCTGAGAGGAAGCTCTCTCTTTCAATATGGAACACAGACTTGCTTTTTTGTTTGTTTGTTTTTAGGAAACGATGGACTAGACAGGAGTCAAATCTGGCCTCTTGTGATTAATAAACATGCATCCTGCATGTTGCTTCCAACTTGAAAGAACAATTAAATATTTCTTCTCTTTATCTTGCATCTCTTGACGATTTGAGAAAGAAAGCTGGTTTCAGGAGTAATTTGGAAAGACAATTTGAAGTCAAGTAAGCTTTATTTAAATAACTGTTTAAAAGACAGTAATCTTCGAATGGTTTTTCTTTCACTGGGCAGGGCTCCCAGTCTTGGGCCCTCTGCCCTGAACATCCTGCCCCAGCCCTTACACAGGGAGGAAAAGAATAAGAACTTTACCTGAGGAGATATAGAAATCTGGGGGATTTGGGAATGAGTTAGGCTGCAAGTGGATTAAGAAATGATGGCGGTGAATTGGGACCATCTTAGAGCACTGTTAACTTACCCTCAGCTCTTCGCTGGCTGAAAACCGTGAAAAAGCAGTGAGTAAAGCAACTGGCCCGTACAGGGCTCAAACCCACAACCTTGGCGTTATTAGCACCATGCTCTAACCAAGTGAGCTAACGGGCCAACAGCACAGATGGCCCTTTTTTGTCCCTCAATCCTGATCTTCATCCCTTTCTTGTGACAGTATTAAATTCAGTGACATAATTCCTGTTTGTCTCACAAGGAGAAACAATTTCCTAGTGACTTTAGACTATTCAATATCATGCTACCTCTTATCATTCTGGGTAGCCTTTTCTGTCATGTCTAGTTTCCACACGGGCACATGTTCATGAGTATTAGCTGAATGCTGCAGACGTTCTTTCTGGGGTTATCCCTTACTACACCTCTCGCCTTCTTGGTATGCTGTCGTATCAGCTCCAGCTGCCCCAGTCTCCCAGTCTATCAATTCCTCGTCAACACTGGGAGTCCACCAGGCTCTGCTAGGGTTCTGCCTTCCTGCACTGGGGCCTGGAAACTCAAAACCATTGTTAGGGGCTAACCCTAGTGTTCACCTCCCCGTCTCTCCAATCACTCAATTTTCCCCTGTGATTCAGGGGTTACAATTCTCCCTTATCTGATATTCTGTGTCATCCTTGTGTTAGGTTTTGGTTCTTTCCAGCGGGAATGTAAATCTGATCCCTGTCTCTCCAATCACTCATTTTCCCCTGTGATTCAGGGGTTACGATTCTCCCCTACCTGATATTCTGTGGCATCTTTGTGTTAGGTTTTGGTTCTTTCCAGCGGGAATGTAAATCTGATCCCTGTCTCTCCAATCACTCATTTTCCCCTGTGATTCAGGGGTTACGATTCTCCCCTACCTGATATTGTGGCATCTTTGTGTTAGGTTTTGGTTCTTTCCAGCAGGAATGTAAATCTGATCCCTGTTATGGCAACTTGACTGGAATCATCTCCCAGCTATTTGGAGGAGTTATTTTCCGATACGGGTTGCGGGATTTTAGCACCAGAGAGGGCCCTCTATTATAGTAAGTGCATCAGCCTGTCTTCCAGGGCTGTCTGGGGACCTCAGGGTGCTTGGGCAAGCAGATACTGAGCTGTCGACTGGGACAGCATGTCTGGAGAGTGCAGGCTATGGGCCCTAGCGGGGCTAACTTGCCTGGAATACTCTGACAGATTGGGTGGGCACAGAGGTGGAGCGACAGCTTAGGGGAGGGTGGGTTCTGGGACCAGCGGTCTGGAGGGTCCCATGTAACTAATATGGGCATTCAGATCTCTGCTGGGCACGAACTGGTCTATGGGATCCATGCACTTTTTCTTTATCTGTGCCCTGCAGCCACCAATAGTTCTCCTGCACCTGCGGGAATTGGAACACCTTCCCCTCCGGGCTCTTATGGGTGCCTTCTGGTAAGCGAATCCGGGCAGTCCTCCTAGCATCTGTACCTAGGAGGCCCAAGGGTGATTGCCACCTGCCACAGCCTAGGGAATTGCGAGTGGATGAATGGGACCTGCCCAGAAACTGAGTCCCCCACAGCAAGTCCACCCAGTCCCTGTCTTAGGCCATCCCTGTCCCTCCCCATATCAGAGGGTACAGAGACAAGGGATCTGTGTAAACTCACTTGTGGACTGGATGAGTTTTGATAAGTTGTTCACTGAAGGCTTTAAATTACCTTTTTTTTTTGAGACGGAGTTTCACTCTTGTTGCCCAGGCTGGAATGCAATGGTGTGATCTCCGCTCACTGCAATCTCTGCTTCCTGAGTTCAAGCAATTCTCCTGCCTCACCCTCCCAGGTAGCTGGGATTACAGGCATGCACCACCACGCCTGGCCAATTTTTGTGTTTTTATTAGAAACAAGGTTTCTCCATGTTGGTCAGGTTGGTCTCAAACTCTCCACCTCAGGAGATGCACCCACCTAGGCCTCCCAAAGTGCTGGATTACAGGCCTGAGCCACCCACCTTGGCCTGCTAAATTACATTTCTTGTAAAAGTTACATTTTATCTCTATGAGTGGTGGTGTTAGAAAGAGTTGCTTGTGTATGTCTTTAAAAGCTGTTTTGTTTGAAATTCTCAGATCAAGTATTCTAGTTCCTTTTATTATGACGTAAGTATTTAGCCACTAATTCAGTTAGATCTTATGGTATTTATACTAAAACTATAAAATCCTGCCAACCCTACAATAGTATCCAGATATAAATGCTTTTGTGGCTGGGCACGGTGGCTCACGCCTGTAATACTAGCACTTTGGAAGGCCGAGGCAAGCGGATCACGAGCTCAGGAGTTTGGGACCATTCTGGGCAACATAGTGAAACCCCGTCTCTACTAAAAAAATACGAAATATTAGCTGGGCATGGTGGCGGCCACCTGTAATCCCAGCTACCTGGAATGCTGGGCCAGGAGAATCCCTTGAACCCAGATGCAGAGGTTGCAGCGACCCAAGATCGCGCCACTGCGCTCCAGCACACGCGACACTGAGACTTCATCTAAAAAAGAAAAAAAGGCTTTTGTTCACCATGTCAAATAGCTTATTTTTAAATTTTAAAGTGTATTTGGAGAAATAGAATTTAGCATTTTTATTATATGCTCAGAGAACTTTAGCTTCACTGAGAATCATTTTGCTGTATCTGAGCAAGTGAGAAGGAAAGCGCCGCACCCTGAGTTTCAAAACAAGAGTCCTTTATTTGCCAGCGACTGACAGACGACTAATGCTCAAAATTCTCTCGGGCCAAAGAAGGGGCCTGGTTACTTTTTATACCTTGCTTAGAGGAGGGGAGGAGGAGCCTAGCTGAAGCAATTTTTGCAGAAGCAGAGTAAGCAGAAGTCAAGAGATAAGCGGTGCCGGCCTAGGGGCTCTCAGTACTATCAATGAGCATATTCCTAAGCGGAGGTGGTACAGCTTGACCTTATCAGTAGGTGCATTCCGGAGTGCCCCTGAGTACAGCTTGACCTAGCAATGCACTCCAAAGGGGAACAGTGGGAAGTGAAGGCGGGGCTAAGATTGAGTCAGCTAGGCAAACATAGGGTAGGGTAACACAATTTCATGTATCTAATTTTGGAAATCAGTTACCCTTTAAAAATGATCATAATAATTTTTTTTTTGTATTTGTCTTTTTTCATTACTTTCTTCTTATTGGAAGTAATATAAAGGTTCCTTTTAGATATAGATCCGCATTCCAAGCATACCTGCATTTGTTTTCAGAGAAAATTTTAAAAAGAAAGAACAGAAATAAATCTATATAAGAAATATGTGAGTGGACTTAGAGAAGTTATATTCTGTCAATCAGACAGTGGTTGACTTGCAACTATTTTCCCAGGTGGTTGAGACAAAAGCACTTAGATTCCACCTCTACCAAACAACCCGATTAATGCAAAACAAGGAGCGTACCAACACAGAAAATCTCCCAGAAACTAAATCAGCAGAGATGTCAGGTTAACAAACTGTTGACAGTTACCCATCTCCAAAAAGGAACTTCTCATTGTTAGAAGGGCGCGTAACATCGAAACATGAACCTTGTGCCTAGCTTATAATTTTTCCAAGAAACTGCAAAGAACCATACACTAGTTGTTAATATCAAGTTTCCACCCAAAATGGTTCATGAACTTGTTTGAAATACTGAACATATGAACTGAAACAAACTTGGCAGAGTACAATTATGATGTTTTAAACCAAGAATTCAATCATTCTACTCCTTTTTTTTTTCCTTTTGTTTTTCTCAGGTGACTGGATCGAACAATCAGCATACTCTTAAAGTTTCACCATTGTAATTTCCCAGGATGTCTTTTCTCTATGACACACGTCTCATATATGTTATATATGTTAGATATATATGTATATGTGACCATATATATGATATACATATACATATATATATATTTTTTTTTTTTTTTAAGTATAACATTGCCCATAAACCTTTGGATCATGATTGTGTATGTGAGATGCTACGCTTAATTTTAAGGCAGAAGAAATTAACAGCATCTAGGTCTCAACTGTGACAACTTGTATCGTAAGCACAGTACATGGAATTTTCTCCTGAGAGGCATCTGAAGTACTATGCTACACTCTGCACAATTACTTACATTTCCCACATGGTTTTAAGACTTTTGTGCCTTGATTCTGTTAAAAATATCAACTAGTATGAACATTCAATCACACCCATTGATTTTTTCTTTCTTTTTGAGACAGAGTTTCTGCTCTTGTTACCCAGGCTGGAGGGCAATGGCGTGATTTCTGATAACTGCAACCTCCGCCTCTTCGGTTAAAGTGATTCTCCTGCCTCAGCCTCCCAAGTAGCTGTGATTACAGGTGCCTGCCACCACCTCCAGCTAGTTTTTGTATTTTTACTAGAGACAGCATTTCAGCATACTGGCCAGGCTGGTCTCGAACTCCAGACCTCAGGTGATCCACCCGATTTGGTTTCCAAAAGTGCAGGGATTACAGGCTTGAGCCACCGCCCCAGCCCGTATACCCATTGTTTTTGCATAAAGAAGTTAAAGGGCTTTTCTCCAAAATTCAGTAGATACTGTTATGGAAATTTTTACCTGACAGAAAACCCAAGCGGCACTCAGGGGAACGGAGGAACACTCTTTATTACGCCCAAAAGTCTGGACCCCGGCTGAGAAGGACACAGTTTTTATAGGTGAAGGGGCAGGGGAAGTAACTCAGAACTTTAGACAACGCAGCAGGGTTTAGACGACATGGCAGTTTTCCTTACGGTTTTTAGCTAGTAAGCAGTAAGCTGAGGTACAGAAGCAGAAAGAGGCCGTTATCAGCAGAAAAACAGGGGCAGTTTTACAGTAGGGAAGTTGCTGGCTATGTGCTAACAAAATCCTGGGCAAAACTTCCACTTATCCCCGCTTTGATGCTCCCTTATGGATATCAGGGAGAGTCACCTTTACACCCTGGTGCCTGTACTTAGCGGCTTGTACCCACTGAGAGCCAACAACTGAGCATTTGTTTTTCTCATTACCAGGGCTTCAGTGAAGCACCGAAGTCTGTTAATTAGGCAAGGGCCAAGAAGATTATTAATAGCAAAACAGGAAGTGACATTTTACACCAGACATGGACAAGGAAGGTCCCTCATGGACGACAAGGATGACGGCACAAGAGTAGAACAAATGCTGTCAGAACAGCTCCAAGTCCTACGATTCCAGCCCACGTTTGCCCATTCAGTGGAGGCTCCCCAAGTTTCGGCCGTGCCTTGACTAGTCACCTTCTGGTTGTGTGACTAGAGGAGGGCTTGATGAATGCTCGGGATTCAGCCCCCCGGAGCCTGATTTTCGTGGGGTGCCGAGGGTCTGATGCAGTCCAGCAGTCCAGCGATGTGTCCGGGTGGGCCCTCTTGGCTCTGGAGAAGTGCACCTACAGAACGACTCCTGAAACTTTGACAGAAGTGGGTGACAAGCACTACAGTATGGGGCCCTGTCCACACAGGCTGGAGGGGTTCCTTCTTCCAATCTTTCACCCAGACCTGGTCCCCAGGTTGGAAGGGATGTGCTGCATTGGCTAGGGAGACAGGTGCTCTTTCCATTACAAACTGACTGACCTGGAACAGCACCTTCCCCAGTGCCTGCAGCTGGGACGTCATGCTTGTTTCCCCTAGCTCTCTGAGGTCCCCCTCACTTTGTCAACCAGAGGTGGGGGCCTCCCAAATAGGGTTTCAAAGGGTGAGTAGCCGGCGGGTCCTGGTGTACACCGTGGCCACAGCAGGGCTAGGGGAAGCACATCTACCCAGGAAGCCAGGGTTCCCTGATAGAGCTTTGCTAGTGTAACCTTCAGGGTTCAATACATGAACTCCACTTTCCTGAACTTTGTGTCCTGTACACTGTGTGAAGTTTCCACTTAATCTTGAGCACACTGGTGAGGGCTTGGATGATCTCTGCCACAAATACTGGCCCACTGTCACTGTGTACGGTGAGTGGAATCCTGTACCGGGGAACAATTTCACAAAGTAGGATTCTCACTAATTCTCGGGTGCTTTCCCTCTTGGTTGGGAGTGCCTCAGCCCAGCCTGAGTATGTACGTACAAGGACCAGTAGGTATTCGTACCCTTTACTGGGCTTGATTTCAGTGAAGGGGTAGCCGCCCACCTGTTGCACCGTGGGGCAGGTGTCAGCCCCTGAAAGGGGTAGTTTTTAGCACGGTAAGGCACTGATTGCTTACTGCAGCACAGAGTGTGGGGAGGGTTGCATCATAGGATCACCTGCCGGGTAAGCTCTCCAGCAGTTTACCTGGGTGGGTGAGACCATGGCACTGAGTAAGGACATTGGGAGCCAAGTTCTTAGGCACCACTGCCGTGTTGTCAGGGAGTCGCCACCATCCCCCAGCACTCTGCTTTGCCCCCTCCTGCTGTGCCCACTGGTTTTCTTCCTTAGAGTACTCCGGCTTCCCCACATCCTCTCGGAACCTAGGGGTGACTGTGAACAAGTGGGCGGGGGCCTGCACAGGCCCTGTCTTCAGTGCGGCTGCCTTAGCTTCTGGGTCAGCCAGCGGCTTTCCTGTAGAGATAAGATCAGTGCCTCTTTGGTGCCCCTTGTAATGTATGACAGCCACCTCTTTGGGCTTCCAAACTGCCTCTAGCAGTTCTGAGAATTTCTTCCTTATTTTTGATTCCTTTTCCTCATGCTGTCAGCCCTCTTCCCTTGTATATCGCCCCATGTATGTGGACAGTTGCAAAGGTGTACTCGGAGTTGGTGTTAAATATTGAACACTTTGCCTTCCGTGTGGCGCAAGGCCTGAATGAACGCATGTCATTCCGCCCGTTCTGTTGACCAGCCTCAGGGCAAGGGGGCTGCCTTGACCACTTCAGTGGCGGTGGTGACTGCATACCCTGCATACCTCTCTCCATTATGGACATAGCTGCTTCTGTCAGTGCACAGCTTTAAGTCTGCCTTAGGGAGGGGACAGTCCTTGAGGTCAGGCTGACTAGCAAAGACCTCATCTACCACCTGCTCACAGTCGTGGTCTGGGGCTCCCTCTTCTGTGGGTAAAAATGTGGCCTGCTTGAGGCCACGCACAGTTTCAATGGTGACCCATGGGTTTTCACAGGGCAGCCCTTGCTAGTGGGTTACGCGGGCATTTGAGAGCCACTGGTGCCCCTGACTTCTCTCTCTCTCTTCTTTCTCTCCTCTCTTTCTCTCTCTCCTCTCGCTTCTCTCTCCCTCTCTATCGTCTCTGTCTTCCAAGGCCCAATAGTCTGGGTGAGGTCCCCAAGTGCTGTTTTGTTTCTCTCCTGTCTGAACAGACTGAACTGTCGGGTGACACCTGGAAGTCCTAGTGCTGGGGCACTTTGGAACAGTGCCTTGATTTCCCAGAAAGCCATGTCTTGGCTCTCATCCCACTCAAGGGGTCTATCTTCTGGCCCAGTTAGGACCCCATAGGGGTGCCTTGCTATGCCCAAGAAGCCAGGAATCCATATGCAGCAGAAGCCTGCCTCCCCAAGAAACTCCTGGAGTTTCCGCTTGGTGTTGGGAGTGGGCATGGAGGAAATCACTCTTTCTCTCTGGTCCCAGGGACTGGTGTCTTTTGGTGATGATGAACCCAGGTTCCTCACCTGCTGTCTGCAGATTTGGGCCTTAGCGATCCCTGGGGGCCATCTCTGCCCAGACTACAGGGAATGCGTCCAGGAGTTCTGGTGGGTTTTTCTCTGACCTCTCGGCAGTGTGCAGTTTCCATTCTTCCACATGTAGAAGTGTGACTGCCAGGACCAGGCCCCCCTTTGGCTCACTCAAAGTCAGACTGGCTGGTCCCCTGAGGTTCAAAAGTGATTTGTGCCCCCAGTTTGCCTAACAAGTCTCTTCCCAGAAGGGGGACAGGACATTCCAGTAGGTAGAGGAATTCATGATGTACCTGGTGCGCCCCCCCCCAATTGGCATATACAATCTTGGCAGAACGGCCGGGGCTCTGCCTGGTCACCTGTTGTTCCCACAACAGTTGACTTCTGGTTGCTAAACGGGGCAACCAGAGTGGTGACCACCGAGTACTCCACTCCGGGGTCTACCATAAAAGTCACTGGGTGGCCTTCAAACTTCTTCTTGACCATGGGCTCCCGGGGTCAAGTTTCATAGAGCCTGGCCCGTCCTAGTCTGAGTCCATCCTGGCCAAGCCAGTCAGGTGTGCCTGGCTAGGCTCTGGCTGGTATTCTGCCCTCTCTCGGGGTGGGGGGTAGGGGGGCGGTGCCCCATCTGGGACCGTCCCCGTGGGGCACTCGTTCTTCCAGTTTCCCACCTCTCTGCAGCATGCACACTGATCTAGCTACAAGGGAGGGTGCCCAGATCTCCCCTCTTTGTGTGGGTGTGTGTCAGGCAAGGCTGGTGGGCTGGGGGCTGATGGTGCCAGGACATAAGGCAGTGGCAGCTCCTTCGCGGGGTCCTGATGAATGGGTTGCTTGGGTCTCTTAGTTTTTTGGGCTGCAAAGACCTTGCACTGTCACTTCCTGCCAGCGCAGAACTGAACCCAATGGGGAGGGTCTGAGCTGTTTCCAGCCAGGAATCAGTACATGGGAACTGGTCCGGGTGGCCGGGTAGCAGTTCACAGCCTTCCAAGCAGCCTGCAGCGTGGAGACCTCCAGGGTGCCCCCTGGTGGCCAGCGGACGCTAAGCAGCGGCCGCTCTGACCTGCAGGGTTTTTAGCTTTCCTGGGGTCATTTTAACCCCGTAATCTCCAGAAACGCCCTTCCTGAAGGTTTCGACCATACAGTCCAGGACTGTGGGCTCAGACTGACTTTCCCCATGATGTGTGTCCCCTTTTGAACGGTGACGCAAGACAAAGGAGGGTGTCCCGTGAAGGACCACTCAGGTGCCCACCTGGCTGCGCCCCTCGCGGGAACTTAGGCGCGTCTTAGCAGTCAGGGGGTCGGTCTAATCCCCCGACTCGGCTGGAGCTCAGCTTGTGCTCAGCTCGATGCCGCCGTGAGCCACATGCGGTTCGCCACGGAAACGCCGGCTCGGGCCCTGTGGAGCTCCGTAGTTTGCACCGTGGAGCTCGACTGGAGGTTCGAGGGCAGGCTCCTGAGCTCCCCACACACGCACACACTCGCTCAGAGGTTACCACGTTCCCACCGTAAGCCGAGAAATCCACCTGCCGTCTCCACATGGAGGCCTTGGGAGGTGGCCAGGCTCCCCTGCCGTCCGCAGACCGGCCTGACTAAATCCATCTGCCGTCTCCACATTGAGACACCCCCCCCCACCCCGCCCCGGGAGGTGACCAGGCTCCCCTGCCGTCCGCAGACGGGCTGGCCTAAAGTGGGTCCCGGGGCCTTACCCCATCCGGAGCTCCCCTCAGCTCAGTCCGTCTCCCCCGCGAGTCCGGGCAGCAGCAACGCCGGAGCAGCAGTGGTTCCCCTTCCGGGGAAGGAGGCCCTGGAGCAGCTTAGGGGGACGGGGTATGGGGGGGCTGCCTGGGTCCCCGGTGGGGAACAGTGAGCTGTCCGTCCTTTCCGACCCCAAATCGGTGGCTCCAGGGGCCGGCGCGGTTGAGTTTCCCGGTCAGGGAACCAAATATTGCGGAGAATTTTACCCGGCAGGAAACCCAAGCGGCACTCGGGGGACGGAGGAAGTGTTGATCACGCCCGGAAGTCCGGACCCGGCTGAGAAGGACACAGTTTTACAGGTGAAGGAAGGGACAGGAAGGAACTCAGAGCTTCAGACAACGCAGCAGGTTTAGACGCCGCGGCAGTTTTCCTTAAGGTTTTTAGCGAGTGCGGAATAAGCCGAGGCACAGAAGCAGAAAGAGGCCGTTACAGCAGAAAAACGGGCAGGTTTACAGCAGGGACGTTGCTGACAAAATCCTGGGCAAAACGGCCAGTTCAGTGGAAGTCCCATCCTAGACATGAAGGGCAGCCTGTGAGGACCAGTGACTCCCACTGCTCCCGTGAGCCCCACTCCCACTCCTTAGCAAGGCAGTTCCACTCCAGGAGGAGGCCATGGGGACAGGGAGGACTGGTGGCTCCTATTCCCACTTCCCTGAAGCTTCAACCCTGTGCTGGAGAGGTTCTGTCCTAGGCATGGCAAACCTTGATGACTGGCTGGTCAGGGCCCCTGCCTGAAGGGGTTCACTTTATTTGGAGTAGGACAAGGAAAAACCCAGCCCAAGGCCAATGTTGAAAACAGCAGAGGCCACAGTGAAGAGTAATGAGGGAAGGCTGACATTTCAAGGATACTAGCAGAAGCATACAAATTAATATATTTAATTTAGAAATATACCAGAAATTTCATCTTGGCTAACACAGTGAAACCCTGTCTCCACTAAAAATACAAAAATTAGCCACGTGTGGTGGTGCATGCCTGTAGTCTCAGCTACTCAGGAGGCCGAGGCGGGAGAATCACTTGAACCAGGAGGCAGAGGTTACAGAGAGCTAAGATTGCTCCATTGCACTCCAACCTGGGTGACAGAGCGAGACTCCATGTTTAAAAAAAATCTATCAGAAAATTGAAAAGGACATCTAGGGACAGCCAAAGAGCACCCCACCCTTGCGAGCTGTCCGTCCTTTCTGACCCCAAACCGGTGGCTCAAGGGGTTTGGGGTGTGCACAGCCTCCAGAACACCCACTCATCTCTGGAGGTCTGGACGACTGCACATGCACAAACACCCAGGATCCAAAAGTTTGCTCAGTAAAGCCCGGAAAGGGCACTGTCCCTGGCTGAATGCAGAGTAGACCTGTAAACTCCCAGGACTTAGAGAGCAATCTCCAGCCACATTAGATCCAAGAGATTGAAGGTACAAGTGGATAATGACCAAACCTAAAGTAGAAATAGACCTCTGGCCTAAAACCTGCAGCCAGCCAACTATTTATAGTAACCAGCCCAGGAAGTCAAGCTACTATCTGTGGCAAACAGTAGGGGAAGACAAATCATAATACCCCCGGGTATTGATTGGCTCCAAATGGCCAGCACTTACTAACTGTAATAACTCACAATTCCCTGATTTTTGCCCTTGCTTTCGACTTAGGACCAATGAGGAAAAGCCACACGTACACTCCCAACCAATCACATCTGATGCCTCTCATCTAGTTAGCCTGCCCACAGCTTCCCCAGGCCAGGGCCTCCAGTTAAGGCATACCTAGAACCTTCTTTTTCCACTCTCCCACTTTCCCACTCCTCTGCCTACTGTCAGTTGCTGCCAAACCCAAGTGATGATGGTGGACTGTCCTAGTACAACAAGTTCTGAACAAACGGCCTTCACTTGTCATCATTTGGGGGTGTTCTAGGTTCAACTGTGTCCCATCTTCTCCCCAAAAAAGATATGTTGAACTCCTCAGCCCCAGTTCCTCAACCTGTGACCATACTTGGAAATACAGTGTTCACAGAGGAAACCAAATTAAAATGAGGCCAATAGGCTGGACCATAGCCCAAGATAGCTGGTACCCTTATAAAAGGGGAAATTTGGACACAAGGACAGGCAGATGCAGAAGGAAGGTGATGTGAAGGCACACAGGGAGCACAGCCATGTGACTGGAGTGATACGTCCACAGGCCTAGGGACAAACCCAGACACTGGGAGAGGCAAGGAAGGACTCTCCTACAGCTGTGAGAAAGAGAATGGCCAGGCACGGTGGCTCATGCCTGTAATCCCAGCACTTTGGGAGGCCGAGTTGGGTGGATCAACAGATGGAGACCATCCTGGTCAACCTGGTGAAACCCCGTCTCTACTAAAAATACAAAAAATTAGCCGGGTATGGTGGCGCATGCCTGTAATCCCAGCTACTCAGGAGGCTGAGGCGGGAGAATTGCCTGAACCCAGGAGGTGGAGGTTGCGGTGAGCCGAGATCGCGCCATTGCACTCCAGCCTAGGTAACAAGAGCGAAACTCTGTCTCAAAAAAAAAAAAAAAAAGCAAGAAAGAGAATCGCTCTGCTGACACCTTGACTTCAAACTTCCAGACACAAGAGTATGGATTGTATGTTTCCATTTATATAAAGATCGAGAGCAGACAGAACTACAGTGGAGATTCACTCCGGTATGATAGCGTGAGGAGGTTGCCTCTTACCAAGAAGCAACTATGAAACTGGATGAAACCCTGCTACTGCCATCTCTGTGCATACGAAGATGCACAAAATGCTGAGACATATTTATTGCTGAAAACCATTGAGTGTTAGGAAAGAATGGTGCAAATCTATGGCAGTTTCTTCTCACGGCTAACACAGCCTAAGCAGGCACCCTTGCAACTAGCCCCGTCCTCCCTCACCCTGAAAGAACGAGTCTCTGCCAGAACCATGGACTCCTAGGGTTGGAAGCCGGAAGGATTCTCTCCTAGAGCTGGGAGAAAGAGAATAGCCGGGCGCGGTGGCTCACACCTGTAATCCCAGCACTTTGGGAGGCCAAGGCCGGTGGAAGCACTAGGGAGTGATATTTGACTGTGGGAACAGATGGGGAGTGAAGGATGTGGAAGGAAGGGTGTGGAGAGAGAGAGAGAAGGACAAAGATTAAGTGACAGGAAGAGAAACAGAGACAGAGAAGAGTGTCAAAGACAGAAACAGAGGCTCAGGGAGACAGATTGAGGAGACAGAAGAGGAGAGAGGAAAATAGAGACGCAGAAAGAGTGAGAAAGTGACTAGGAGAACACAGGGACCAAAAGTGAGTCAGAAATAGAGCAGTGGAAACAGCCCGGCAGCGCAAGAGAGGAGAGACAAACACACTTCCGGAGAGCCAGAGAACAAACACAGACCGAAGGACAGAAAGATAAACAGAGAAACAGACTGAAACACAGAGACAGAAATGAAGCTGTTCGCAGAAACAAGATTAGAAAGACAGATAGTGACAGGGAAAGAGAGAGGGAGAAACGGACGTAGGGAAAGGGGTACAGTGAGAGAAGCTGAGAAGCAGGGGCAGGACCAGGGTCCGAAGTCCAGAAACAGAAACTTACAGCAAAGCCCCCAACCCAGGAGCAGGAGTGGCAGAATTTGAACAAGAATCTGATCAGCAGGGGGAGGGCATCAAAGAAATGTAACGAGAGGGAGGGCATCCTGTCACATTTCTTTGATATTTAACATTCAAAACACCAATATTTATTTACAATGAGAATAATCGTCCACTTATAATTCTGTTGGGAACCAGCCCGAACCTGTGCGTGGGTGCTCTGTGTCCCGGCAGTGACGAGGGATGAGAAAAGAAATAAAGACGAAGACACAAGAATAGAATTTTAAAGCCTGGGTCCCCGGGATTAATGCACTCTCAAAGGGTGATCTGCTTCTGCTACGAGTTCTGGGCTCCAAGCGCTTTTATTATGGCAAATTATCTTGTTAATCTTGCAGGCTGTGCGGAGAGGGGATGAGGAGGGAGATGGCCAGAGGAAGAGCAGGTGTCTGCAGCATTCAATTCAAAGCGGTTCTCCTAAGAAGGGCTAAGGACACTGAGGTTTTGCCATCCATTGTCTATCCAGGTGTTTTGGCGAGAGAGGTGCAGTGGACAAGGTGCCATGAGGTCTGACCACACACAGTGCATCAAGGGGCGGCACTGTGCACACAGAGCAAGCGAAACTGCTCCACATTCTGACAACACAGGCAGAGCCTGTGGCGTTCCGGTGTCTCAGCCTTGCTAGCACCCATCTAAGAAGACCCTCCTGAGTCTTAAGAGCAGAGGTTGCATTTCCTTCCCAGAGTCTTTTGCATAAGCTCCCTTTACAAGATCCTTACACGAACTGTGTTGGGAAGAAGCAGTTTTTGTTTTCTGCTCTGCGCTCTCCGATGGTCTTCACCAGAGGCCTCCCGCTACTGCTTGATCTCTGCTTCTGTTTTACTGCACCACAGTTTGGATATGATCCGTGGCACAAATCTCAGTGTAGAAAAGGCAAAGCAACTCGTAATCATTTAACTATAGGTAACACAGGTCTGCCCCGGCCATCTCTTCCCACATAATTCCATAACCTTCTGTAACAGAGCACTTTAAGTTGGGAATAAAGATGTTTGCTGACACAGGCCAGTTATAAGCGGAACATGTGCCGAATCCCAATTCCTGGGAGTTTCTTCTTTCAAAACAAGCTGCTCTCTTTTTTTTCAGTGAATGAATATGTCCAGGACTGAGATGGCCATGCAGGGAGTGGAAAGGGTATGAGATTCAGACCTCACCCTTACCCTGGCTCCCCTTTGCCAGCTTCAGCCAGGTCTGTAGCTGCTGGAAGATATTCTGTGGGGAGGCGGAGTTTTGAAAGTCAGATCTCAGCACCAGTAGAAAAAAAGGAACATGCAAATGCTCATTCAAATAAGAATGCAAATTATTCAAAGCCTTTTCCCTCTTACCCGGCGCCCTAGGCGGAGGCTGGGGGAATCTGAGGGCCTCTCAGGTGCCATGTCCAAGCAGTGGGAGCCAGAAGGGATAAGAAGAGCAGATTCTGAGGATCCTAAAGCCTGTGTTACACTTAGCACATGCCAAGGGTCTGTGTCCCCTGGAAAGAAAGGAAAGGATGCGGCTAGGTAGCTGGGGGCTGGAAGAGGATGGGGCTCTGCTGAACTGGGGCTCCATACATAGGTGTTGACCGCATGCTCACCGTTAACAAACAGCACTTGGTTAGCCCCAGGAGTCTGGCCACCATAGTAGGAGTTCGTCTGAGCCACAGCCTGGGCTACTGACAAGGGTGAGAGCCCGAACACCTGCTCACATAGGTCCAGCTGGGAGGGCAGTGCTGGGAGCTGGGAGAAAGGACATCTGGGATTCTCACAGGTGACATCTGTGTAGGGAGAAACCTGTAAGTGTGGGTATACAGCCAGCCCACCACTCTCCTCTAATAACCATTTTCAGAGACTTCCTTAGTGATGACCAAAACGTTTCCAGTACTCCCTTCTAGGAGCTCATGATCCTAGCAGAGAGACGCTCACAGATCCCCTGACAGCGACAGCCCAGAGTGATCAGGGCTGTGAAGGAAAGACACGAAAGCAGGGAGCCCAGAGGAAACATGATGGGTTCAGGGAGAGCATCGTGCAAAGGATGAGACCTGGAGACATTAGCAGGACTGAGCCAAACAAAGACAGAGAAGAGGGGGCATAGTAAAGAGAGGAAACAGCATGTGCAAAGGTCTAAATAGCATGTGCAGAGGAAATAGCATGTGCAAAGGTCTAAATAGCATGTTCAAAGGAAATAGCATGTGCAAAGGTCTAAACAGCATGTTCAAAAGTTTACATAGCATGTGCAAAGGTCTAAA